GTGGAGGAACATCATGATGTAAAGTCTCTGCTCTATCCTCTACTTTTCTGACTTCATAGGGAAGTCTTTCTGTTTAAAAATGTTCCCTACTTTGACATACTTTGGGGTTAACTAGCTTTTGGCCTGCAGATGTGAAACTGACACACAACTTAATCCTTGTGCCTGATTAATGCACTTTCACTGAAATGGCATGTATTTTACCCTGACAGGCTAGTCCTTTAATTGCTTGGACCCATTTTTGTTTAACATGAATAACGAATATTAATGAATTACTAGTCATTCCATCACTTATTTCAAAGCCTCGTTTATAAAAAACAGTCATTTTATCTAGTAGGACACTAGAGCTGGGTATTTCCCACAACCTCAGGATACAAATTAAAGCCTATTCTTCACTTTTGTAAAAACTTGAAATAGCCCTCTCGGTTGTCTCTTTTACTTTTGGTTTTTTAATGCAACAATAATATTCTGGTTTAACTTGACTATTTGTCGACGTGTCTTAATCAGAATGTCTTTTTGCTGCAAACAACTTAACTTGCATATGCACCACTGTTTTTGAAATAAACCATCGAGTGGGGATCACCTAGCATTGCTCACACTCATTAAGCAGCTGCCTGCAGCCTTCGTTATTAGCGATTCTGAATGGGTCTACGTCTTTACAAATAAAGCATAAAATAAGTGTGGGGTCTTCTAAGTCCTTTTAGAAGTTGCCGGACATTTTGACTTGAAATCATCATGGTTTGCAAGCCGGGACAGCGCACCCTGACTCTGTGTTGTGGGCCTAGCTGTTGTCGCTAGCGGCTCATCAGGATGGTTTCTTGTTAGCTGTACTGAGGTTGGTTGTGGTGCTGAAGCATTTATCTTGTTTTTTTGCAAAGCTTGCATATTGCATGAATCACATCTGACTCATGACTTCCTGCTGTTTGCAAAACTCTGAAATGCTCCCATTGTTGTTTCTTTCAGTTTTGCTGGCGGTGGATAGAGTTCGTCAAACATGCTTGTCTTATTTAAAACAAAATGTGCACTGCATCATGTCGTTTGGCTTCTACTGCGCCTGCTGGCTTTATTGTGAACTGCAACATAGATGATGTGTCTTTCAGAACTGGCAACACAGCATTTGCTGCCACATCGATTCTGTAACATCTGCAGCGATACACGGACGGGACATTTAGACACCAAAATATTTAAAAAGCAGGTAAAGGTTTAATTTGTGCCTTCAAGTACACTACTCAGCTACAAAAAGCCTTTTCTCCTACCGATTAAAACAATTTGACGGCCTTCCCAGTGTGGGCAGACCGTGCCTGACAACATAATTGAGGAATTTGTTGAATGTATTAAACACACGACATATTTCTTGGCATCTGTGTTCACTTCACAACCACAGTTAAAGCAGAAGTCATGCACTTCCAAGACTCTCCACTGAAGCTCACTCTGAATGTCTGTTAGATTAAATCGCCCTGAAGGCGAAGACATTCCTTATTGAAGAAACAACAACATCCAGTTTGTGGTTGTGTGGCAGGAAGGAACAAGAACAAAGCAGCCTCACTGTTAAACTTTGGGTTTGGGGTTCGGATATGGTTAGCCTAGTCTTGCCCACGTAAAAATAAAAGCAGCTTTTAAATGAAATTAAGTAAATAAACCATTAAAATCAGGAATCTGATTCCCATTTTGAGATTTAGCTGCTTTATTGGCCTTGCTGTTGTCTTTTACTCCCTCCAATCCCCAGAATTCATTTGATAAGCAAGTAAGGCTCATCATGTGGTGTCTTTTTTTAATTTTATTTTACCCATTTTGTCAATATCTCTGTCTCGTGTTGTTACAAGTAGGACAATGTATTTTGAATTCTTGGTATTTTGGTGACTTTGTGTGCTGTAAGCAGGGGGGGGGGGGGGCTGTAATCCTGCTATCTGAAGTCTGCCGCTTGTGTTCACATGGCACAAGAAGGTGGGGTAAGGAGAGAGGGGGCTGAGTGGGTTTTTTGGGGGGCTTATCCTGTTTGGTGCTGCAACGGGCTGCCCAGCCAACCAGAAGATGAGAAAAGAAGTGCACCCTTGTTGTTTGTTCGCCTTTGGCCCCTGCCATCTGTCCACTCGGTTCCTGACACCTGTACCAGCCTGTCAGAGCCGGGCTCCACTGTCAGGAGGGGCAACGCGGGGCTGGCCTGCAGGGAGACAACGGAGAGAGGGGGGGAATGCAACAGCTCCAAAGAATTAGGGAAATGTTTGGGAAGGGGGGTCAGGGTGAATTTGGGGCCACTTCTTGGAAAAGGAAAGACTGAATGATCTTTTTGAAGTTTTAGATATAACCGTCCACTACACTGCACCTGCTGATATTGTTTTGGTTTTTTTTTTGGTAAATGACCCTCACAGGTGCCTGTACCCCCAGACCTTTCTTCATCTAAATGTTGGCTGAAGGTTCAGAGGCAATCGGAAAGCAAATAGTTGGCATGCTGTAAAAGCACGGAAACAGCCATTAATGTGGTGCCAGATGTTCATCAGACGGTGACGTTAAGGGGAGGCTTCTCAGTTATTTTTAAGGGGCCGGCTGCTTGAAAGGCAAACTCAGTTGCTGTGAGCACCGCCGCGTTCATGGGCACATCTTATCTGGGCCAAGAGGGGCCACTAACAACAAAAAAAAAAAAGAGCCAGTTTCTTTAGCCAGAGCTGAATAAGATAAAAGCCAATGAAAGAGCACATTAAATTCTATCACAAAGGTGATGTCAGAGTGACGGAGTTCTCCAAAACGAGGCTCGAGGACGTCTTGGCACAGGGAAAAAATCAGGAAGCAGATGCAGCCTAAACCTGTTAGTCACCCACCTCTAATCGGCTTACATTGGCTCGGTGACAGGCGACTGGCACCTTCGAAGGGTCGCAGACGTGGAGGCTAACACACACCTCACAATGAAGGATGACATGTTGGATATCCACATGAAACCGAAAACAGCACTTCACACATTCAGCTTGTGGTTACCAGATCACTGAGCAATTACTTATTCCAACCAATGACAGTATCATCCTCTGCCTCCATGATGATTCACACCCTCCTATAACTTGTAGTATGTAGTTCGTATTAACCCTTTGAATACATACATCCAACAGGCAGTAGGTGGGAGTGTGACTGTTTTCACTAAAGCCGTCATTGTTGTTCAGTATATATGTTGCACTTTGAACTCCACTCACAAAATGTCTGGAAAAAAAACCTGCAACTTCTGTTCTGTTTAAAAGTGTTCGTTCATGTCTCAAAATTTTGGAAATATTTAGGATCGGAATGTTTTTTTTGTTGGCCGTAGTCGAGACAACCGGCTGAAACCGACCTGAGGAAGAGAATATGTTTACAGTCGAGCTAATGTATCCGAGTATAATTTACATGACGCCTTTATCGTAGCAGCACATGCAGCAACAGTACGACGGCTTTCAGTAGCAACTGACGTAACATCCGGTGTTTCCACGGCAACCATAAACATGTCGTGTCTGTCATGGCGGCTCGGTCATGACCCTTTACAACTATTAAATGACAGATGTCTCTTTTATTTGATCACTTTTGGAAATATTTGAGGTAATGCAAGTACTCAACAAGAAAAATTACATAACATAGGTTAAGTCAATTTTTACTTAATTTAGATATTTTAGTGTAAACATTCAAATTCTACATTTTGTACGTTTAAAGGTACAAGAAGATGATGATCTGTAATTAAAAATAATTACACCGGCAGACTCATAACTACTTGATGCTTTAAATATTTGTGTGTACTTATTTACAGCCAATATTACTTAAACATCAGTGTGAATGAATGAATGAGGAATGAGCTGTTGTTTTTGACCACTGGGCACAAGTCAGGACATTAACACTTTTTCTTTACAAGAATTTAGACTGTGCAAGTTTAGTTTTAATGAAGTTTAAGTCCTGTAGCTGCCAGCAGGTGTGAGGAGCGTTCTGATTATTATTTTCCCTTGTAAACATGGAGATATGTTGCTTTCCTTGCACCTGTGGAGTATGAAGTCACTCCCTCTGATCACATCCAGTTGCTCAGTCTTGCAGTGTCGTCATCTCAGCGTTTTGTCAGACGTTCTCTCAGGTGGAAAAGCGTCGACCACGAGCTGACTTTTCCCTCCCCGGGCTGGGACGGGGGTCTTGTTTGTTCTCGGCAGAGGATGATCTTGTAGGTCCCACCAAGTCAAACAAGTGGCATGTTGCCAAGTCGTGGAGCCATTCACACAGACATGAGGAGGTATTGACAGAGTGTGTGCGGTTAAAACCACAGCGCCAACAGCCTCTCACGTTTACAAATGGAACAGAGGAGCACTGTGAACTCATGACACCAAACAGAGAAACCTGGGTGTGCATGTGTTTTTGTGCGTGCGTGTGTGTTCAGGGCCTGACCTGACATTAGTTTCACTCAAAGAATAAACACACACACACACACACACACACTTATGGCGAAATTGCAAAATATTCATTGTACTACACTTAAAGAATCTGTTCATACATAACAAAATCGTAACTTGATGGAAATAAACGACACTGCAGCGCTTTTGAACGTCTCTTTCCACATTATAAAACTGCTGGACAGCTCAGTTGATCCACAACTTCAGATGGGTTGAACAGTGGATCAGTGGTTAGGGAGGTTCCTGGTTTGATTCCCTGTCTGACAGGAAGCTCTCTGTGTGGAGTTTGCATTTTCCCCCCCGGCATGTGTGGGTTCTCTCCAGGTACTCCAGCTTCCTCCCACAGTCCAAAGACATGCTCGTTATGTTGAATGGTGACTCTATATTGGCCAGTAGGTGTGAATGTGAGTGTGGCTGGTTGTCTGTCTCTATATGTGACAACAGTCCAGGGTCTAACCCCGCCTCCCGCCCAATGACAGCTGGGATCGGCTCCAGCCCCCCGTGACTCATAGCAGGGGAAAGTGTTATAGATAATGGATGGATGGATGGGTGGATGGATAGACGACTTCAGATATTCAGTCTAACATTCGTTTCTCTTTTTCTGCTTCTGAAGGTTTTGACAGACACTGAAGAGCAGCATGGAGACTTCCGCTCCAACAGCCACTGAGAAGAAGGAGTGTAAGAGTTCAGGTCTGGACGGAAGCAGCTTCTCAGAACTCCCAAAGAAGCCATCGCCAACCACTCTGACCAGAGGTACCTTTTGTTTTCCAATCATCTTGTCTCTTGCCCCCATCATGGTAGATGTTGATACAGGGAGGATATTCTGTAAGCTTTACAAATATCAGCTACAAAATCAAAGTACTGTCATTAAGTGAACTTGCAGTACGATCTAGGCCTCCTATATGGTGCGTTCATGAACTCTGAAGTGCAGTGAACTGAAATGTTATGGCTACTCACATAAGTAGCTGGGCGGCACATGAAAGGCTCAGACCAACCGACGGAGGCCGCGTGGTTCTGAGATGTCAGGGAATGGCTGATGAAAAAAATGTTTTAATGAGGTCGAAAGACCTTGTTCTCACCTCCCAAGTGTAAATTTCATGAATTACTAAGATCGGCTGGACAACATGGTGTATCAGAGGCCTTGGATACAGGCTGGAAAGAAGAAAGCACCTTTGAAATGCTAAGAAGATGTCGTATGACATTGTGGCTTTATTCGTGTTTCTGCTTAATGATGGGGCTTGGTGGCCTGCCACGAGAGGAGCTATGAGCATTAATTGTTCAGGGGTGAGAAACTAGGACGATTCAGTGCGCCCTCCCTGGCACCTCAACAAAGAGGACACAAGTTTTTCTAACCAGCAAAGATAAATATAAGATAATATTGTGCTTGCCACGGCATGAATTATTCAGTCATTTACACAGTGAGGACCATTGTGTGTCATGTAGACTGCTGGGGTTTCATTTTCATAACCTTCCACCACTGTAAAAAAAAAAAAAAGTGGTGTGCACCCATCAGGGTTTATTTGTGCTTGTGAGGTAACACGGAGGGTGCAGGGTGTGCAAGATTCTCACTACAAAGGGGTCATAATTAAAAGATGAGCGCTCATGTTTTCACCAGTGGATGTGTGATGAAAACTCGTCATAACGAGGTTTGAGGACCTTGTTCAGGCTCCGCTGTTATAAATTGCTAATGCCTGCTGGTGGAGTGCTCTGGTGGACACTTAAACCCCTCAGGAAGAGACTCTGGCATCATCTGAGGGCCGCTGCAGGAACCAACCATTCAAGTAGTTTTACTGTTTAATGAAGGGCCTGGTGGCCTGCCATCACAACGCGCACTTCCTCTCACACAGAGGGACAGTGGAAGTAGGACGTTGGTATGCCATTAGATAGTTTGAATGCTTTTGTTTTTGATTACTCTTTCTTTTTATTTGAACTTTTCCTCAAATTAGTATGCATGTGGAGACAACAATGTGGGACAAATGTGAATAAATCAAGAAGCTAGGAAACATTCTTCTTGCTTTACTTTACGGTCCTCTTTTCTTCAGCTTGATGGTATTCACAATGGAATCACAAAGTAGTCCTAAACCCATGCAGCCAGTACTCTTAAGCTTAAGAAAAGAAAGAAAAAGAAATGCCACAAAGTCATCGTCTTCACATTCCAGGCTGCTATTAAAACATTACTGTCCATAATTGTCTCTCACTTTCTGTTTAGGTCCCTTTTATAAGTTCCTGTTGGGGTCCATTTTGGTTTGTAATTACTCTGTGTTTTATGTAACTTTTTGTTGTGCTGCTGCCCCTCTAGGCCAGGACACTCAATGTCTCTCTTTCTAATATGGAAATGGGAGATTGGTAAACAAAAACTACTTGGTCAGAGCGCCGTAAAGCCTAGTGGTTATTTCGCCCCGCCCCTGTGTGCAGAGGCTGTGGTCCTCAAAGTGCACTGCCCCGGGTTCGACTGACCACCGACCTTTTGCTGCATCTGATTCCCCCGCCCCTCTCATCCCATTTTAAACTCTATCCACTCTACCCTCTCAAATAAAGGCACAAAAATAACCTTTAAAAAATGTCCTTGTTAGTTGAGGAAATACGCAGCATGGATTTAATAACAACTACGCTATTTTTGGATTTTTGTTTCATACATGAATTTGCACTACTCTCCACAAATGATTACAACCCCCACTCCAACTAGACTCTGTCTTCCTACTCAGAGTGGTTATGGTTGTCATGATATTTGATACTTTTCAATACCAAGTTTAAAATGATTCAATCTCTGTTATTTTAATAATCAACAAAATACCAAAGCTTTTTGACGTTTTCTTGGAAATTAAATCAAGAAATTAACAAATATTTGGTGCCTAGGACTTGTATTTTATATCCCTAGTTTCAAATCAGCCTTCAAGACATTTGATGTTTTACTAGAATCGTTATTAAGTGTAAAAATATGATATGTGTGTCTGAGAGTCAGAGCGGCATTAAAAAGTGTCAGCACATGAAGACTATAGAATAAGAACAGGCTGAAAGCTCAAAAGTGTAACTTAAGCAGCAACATCCTGAGAACATCTTGTTCACCCCAATCCGATGTGTCAGCTGGCCTCAACTCTCATAACTTGTTTCACAAGAGCTCACTTTGCTTGTGTTTCATGGAGACATGACTTGCCCTGTTGAACCTGTCTCCGAGTGTTGAGACATGATGGAAGTGTGTCTGTGCCGCTAATGCAGAGTATTTGTCCGGGTCCGAGAGGAAGTGGAGAAAGGAGGGATGTTGAGAAGAAGAAGAAAAAAAAAAAAAAAACAGGTCGGGTTAAGTCTGTTTGATAGGAATCAGGCGTCTTTCTCCGAGCCTTGTTAATGGTTTTAAATGGGCACCCACATTTTGTGTGACAGCCTGCATCTGTCTCGCAGCCACAGGGCGTGCTTCCACAAGCTCGGCCCTTGCAACCTGACTCCAAAGCTCCGGGATTTATGAGTCTGTGTCGGCTTGTGCTTTACCATGTCAGAGTAACATGTGTTCAGATTAGGTGCCCGCTACCAGGACCGTAAAACATCTCACGGTTTCAAAGGAATACCTGTGATTGATGCACCCCCCTCCTTCTCCCCACTTCACACCAAAGACTAGCATGGATGCTCAAATTGGCTCAGAAGAAGTACGGTTAAAGCACAAATCTGCCAAATTCATGTTTTACGGCCTTATTTTATGCTGAGAAAGTTTGCAGAAGAAGACTTTTTCCATCATTCCTCACGCTGTTGTTTGACTGTACGAGGCCAGTAGAGCAGACGAGCTCGGTAACACTCTGATTATTTCTTCAGAAGCAGTGAGTTGAGTCTTTTTTTGGGGGGGGGAAGATTTCAGACTTTCGGAAAGCAAACTCCTGACAGTTGTTGATGTTCTTCAGCATACAAAATGCACAGATAGTTATTCACAGGCGCCAGAAAAATATGTCCTCATTGTCAACACTTGCTGAAGAATACAGCATCAGATCAACCAAAGTCCATATTTCCCCCTGAAGTTGGTTAGCCGCATGTTTGATGTAGAGTGTACGCTGGGTAGCTGCATGAAGAAGAGAAATCTGGTATAATTAATCTTGCAGGGAGTAAAGCATGGCTCTGCGATAACAAGCGGTGTGTTAATCATCATGAACCATCATGGGGAAATCTTGAAAGGTCTCACTGGGGTCTCTGCACTGCCCATAGAGCCTTTTTCTGGAGGGTGCTCTGAAGCAGGTCATGCCCCCCCTCTACACCCCAGTCAGAGAAAAATGTCCTAGAGAAAAATAGAGCCCCGCCTCTCCGAGCTCCCTCTCGGTCCGCGAGCCTACTCCAAAGGGACAGCCACTAATCTTCCTGAGAAAGAGATTTCTGCCTTTCTTTCTACGCTCCTAAATGAGGCTGTGGTTCCACATACTGGGTAAGAGTTGGAGGAGGGGGTTGGTGGGGGGGGGGCTCAGCGGTCAGGCATATACAGAAATGACCACATTCATGCCAGACCCTGCGCCCTCCTTTGGTTTAACTCCTTGGCCTTCCAACTCAGTTGAAAGGATCAGAGAATTTACCTTCTGATGCCTTAAGTATTCTGTCCACTGAGTGAAAATGATGCATGATCCTTTGAGCATTATTTTGTAATTTTCCTTTTTTAAAGAACAACTGTAGCTCAGGTTACAAGTCTGTAGATACAAGATACAACTCCCCTGGCTCCCAGAGCCTCCAAACATGTCAAAGGTTTCATTTTTACATATCCCCAGAATCGGCTCTATCAGGTGTCATCTACAGTAAAAATATGTAAAAGCGTATCAATAATACTTTACTGATACTTGAGAAGATCTGGAGGCAACAAGCTTACAGGAAAGCTTATTGACTAAGTCCTTGTATTGTTTATTTTCCTGTCAGGGTCTATACACTGACACACACTGTCAGGAACTCACTGCTGTCCCAGAATGACTTTAACAGAGACTGATTATGTTTCTCTCCCGGAATGACAATTTTTTTTTAGCCTTCGTCTTTTAGCAAGCCTAAAGCTTCGTCTGCAGGTTCACTGTTCACTGGATTTTAAGGCTGTGATGACCGCTATGTGCCTAAACTTCAGACGGGACTCATGTTGTACAACACACACATTCACATATTCCCTATAAGCCTGCTTGGAAAAATCTTCCCAAAATATGTAATTCAATAATAACTGAGGCTTCTCATAAGGGATCCTGCAGCATCTGTCATGTTCTTTCAACGTATGCCAGCATTAACCAATAAATGACTGTCCAAGCAAAAGCTCTGGATGTCCATCATAAAGGGAGGCAGATGACGCAGTAGAAAGGCCAATTGCATCTGCTTGGGTTGGCAGTGGGTGCAATGGAGGGGTCCAACAATTCAGGACTTTTTGCCAAGGAGACCAGGGTCTGTAAGGCCATTTCAAAGTAAGACTGTGTCAGAAGGGATGAAAGAAGACCTATAATCAGACACTTAGCACATAGTAGCTTGTGCATTTATATGGATTCCAAATGTGGCCAAGACACAGCATCTGTATTTGGTGACCAGTGGAGGAGAATCACATCAACTCATCCAACTTCATGTTGAAAAATGTGTCTGTCTGCGTTCACACATCCAACTTATCCCAAAACATTTTTGGAAATTTTCAGGAGTTAAGTGCGTTGAAAGCACTGTCAGTCTGTCTTTCTCTGTCTTATCTTAGATTTCATTTTGTTCGATGGCTGGCCGAGACTAGATTTAAAGATTAGTTACGCTAAATAAAAGCAGAAAGGCGTGTT